CTACAGGTCTATCAAAGGCCATAATGGCCGGAGTGGTTCATATAGACGGAGCTGGAGATGGTTCGAGCAGATGGACGCTATATACGGCCGTAGACCGGCGAGGAGTGGGAAGGAAGGTGGCTTGGACTCAGCCACGGTGTTGTTGGAATCGCTGATGGAGGGTGGTATGTTTTTTTGTTTTTTTTACGCTTGTACTGTGCTTGAAATCATGTTTTGCTTGGCCTTCTAAATCGATGGAGACCTCACTTCTAACATTATATTTACTCTTAAACTTGTGTAAAATTTATTACTATTAAAATGATTGATGTACTAAATCAAGTTCCGGTAATTGCAAGGGGAGGGGGGTGGATGCTCGGAGGGCTGTAGCCTGTGATTGGTGAAACAAATGTGTCGTCATATCCGCAGCAAGAACCACAAAGGTGCCTACTATTATTTACTTTTTTGCGCAACGGAAACATTTACAACACGCATAATGGAATATAACGTTACAATGTGGACAAATCAAGAAGTCCAGGCCCTCATCCGCTTCTGGGGAGACGAAGCCATCCAGAGGGAACTGGAATCGGCAGTAAGAAACGAGAAAGTCTACCAAAAGATTTCCCAGCGGCTGGCAGAAATGGGAATCCAGCACACAGCAAAGCAGTGCAGGGAGAAAATTAAAAAGATGAAACAAGATTACAGAAAAATCAAGAGCCAAGATTGGCGCGGTAAGGCAAAGCCAAAGTGGTTTGACTCCCTGGATGCTGTTTTGAGCACCCGACCGGCTGCCGCTGGCGGCCCCAGTAGTGGACTCGATTCGACTTGTTTGCTTCTGCAGTCCATGCTGGAGGACTCTGAGACTTCCTTTGTTGGTAACCACCTTTACTCTCCTACGATAATTTGATGTTCGTATATGTACATGTGAGGAGATAGTCTGAGTTTTAGCTTAGCTTGCATTTCCCACTTCTTGTCGTCTGATAACTAACAGTAACTACTGGGAGTAGTGGGTACTACCGTGCTACTTTTCGCAATAAAAGCACCCCCCATTTTGCTTTATGGCTTGTCATTATGTCATTACCCCTGTTTTTCGCGGATGTGCGATGTAAACGGACGTTGTACGAGTGCGAGCTTTACTTACACAGTTTTGTTTATCATTGACTGTCTGATTTACTAACAGCCACTCAGGACAGCATGGAAGCTACCCGGCTCACCGCTGGCAGCTTCAGAGCCTCAGCAAGCTTTGCCAACACCGGGTCATTCACCTCGGGCAGCGTGACGGACATGGAGGAAGAAGTCTCAACACAACGACAGAGGCGCCTTAAAGGTTTTTTTAAACTAACTTTATTGATTTCAAGTTCAGACATAGGTACAGTGCATACGTCTATGTTTACTGTGCAATATAAAGGTTATGAAAAGCAAGAGACTGACATTTATACGCCTAACCAACAAAAATAATTTAATTTAATCAGGTATTTTGAATTTCATTTCATTTCATTGACCAGAGCAGGGGGAATTGTCTGCAGGTGGAAATTTTACATTTAGGAATAGATCAAATTTGGTCATAAGTGTGATGCAGTAATGTTCATCAAATGCAGTTTGTGTGTTCCTTTCTTAGGACATGATGGATGGAAATCATAGGGGCAGATCAATCATTTAAAAAAAAATACAATGTTGTGGAGTTTCAGAAACCACAAGCACTATTAATGGTTTTGATTTTTTCAAATTTTGTAAGATAGCGGGTACCGGGATAAAATCTGTCAATCAGTTTGATGGATTTAAAAAAAATTGATTATTGATAATACATTTGTGGGGTACTGAGTGAACCTTTTTCCAGCTAACATCACAAGCAAATTTATTCCACTAAGAGATAACATAAGGTACAGACATCACATCTTGTTGTCACATAAAAGTGCCCAAATCGTGCTTCTCTCTTTTCCAACCTGAAAAAATCCAGGAAATTGCTTAAACCATTTCAATCTATATCTTCAAAACCACCTCCATCTCAATTTTGTACATCTCAACTAGTTTGCATGACATAGCAATAGCTAGGTGCTTTTGTTTTAGGAGTTAGAACTTTTTTCAGTTGTATTCTTTTTTCCTAGCTTCTTGATGTTTTACCTGAATTACAACCAAATATCCTCAAATAATTTACAGCCTCAAATCTACATAACTCCAGTTTCTTGCTGTAACAGTGTTTACTTTATTTAACAAGTGCAAGATCAGTTTTGAGATTTTCATCTTAACTCCTTCATATTTAAGAATGACTTTTTTTATGATTGAGCTTTTTTGGAGCAGGATACTTACAGGAAATACTCAAATCTTCCTCTATCATTGCCACAGTGTGAGGATATGCTAGCGAAATCATGGCAAGCTATCAATCAGCCAAAACAATCTGACGTAGCATTGCCTTCTTACTCATTTGTTTTTCTCTTGCAGATTCATCCACTATAACAGACAGTCCAGGAAGCTGCAGCAACACCTTTATACCAAGCACTATGCTCAGCCAAACACCCTACCCCATTGGAAACCCTCAAGACCCAGATTTCTACTGCGTTCAGCTAGAAGATGTGGATGGACCCTCTACAAGCACCTCAGTTACCTCCACTGCAGTGCAGACATCATCAAAAGGCAAGTAGAAACCCAGCTAATCTTTAGGATAACAGATAAATATACTTGTTATGTAGTGCAAAGTTCTCTAATAATCTCTACATAGCCATTATGTGAAACACAGTCATACTAAAAGTAGTTAAAGCCAAAACACTGCCCTTCATGTTGAAATAATTTGTAGGAGTCAACTTATTTTTATCCACTTTCATGTCTTGATAAATTATGATCTTTGCATTCACAGATACATCCCTGTGCTGCTGGTCAAATAAAGAGGTCCAAGCATTGTTGACATTTTGGGCAAATCCCTCTGTTCAAGAAGAGCTTCTCCTCAACGTGAGGAATAGTAAAGTTTATGCTCACCTCAGTGCCAAATTGGCATCACTTGGATTTAATAAAGCACCAAAGAAGTGCAGAGAGAAAGTCAAAAAACTGAAGCAGGAGTACAAGAAATTCAAAAACGGGCAATACAGGGGGGGATGGAACAGCAGCAATACAAATGTATGGTTTGCTATTATGGACAATGTCCTTAGTTCCCAGGCTGCAACAACAAAACATTTAAGAACAACAGAGCCCTCACCGCCCAGGCTGTCACAGTCTGTCCTGGATATGGACACTAATTGTAAGCGGAAATTGGCAAAGAGCCATTCATTGGACTGTATTCTGCATTAAATCTCACCATCTTTATTGTATTTTGGAATTAATGTCATTCATTTTATCCTGCCTTTTTATGTACTAGGTTTGACAGATGAATCTCAGTGGTTGCCGGATGAAATCCAAGTGTTAATGACGCTCTGGGCACAGCCAAACATTCAGCAACAGCTTCTCACCACAGCAGCAAATGATGAAGTCTTCACGTACCTCAGCAATGAGCTTGCCTTGGTTGGCTTTAACAAGACGCCACATCAATGCAATGTTAAAGTGAATCATCTTAAAGAGGAGTACAAAAGAATCAAGGAAGTGGACCCATACTGGGAAGTGAAGGGTGACTGGTTTTCTATTTTGGATGGTGTCCTTGGTGCTGGTGGAGAGGCTTCTGCTGAGGTGGATTCATCTGCAGTGCTGACACAGCCTAAATCACACAAAGATGAGCATGTAAACGGTATGTTGTTTGTAACCACCTGATGGCTTATCTGCAGCTTTTGAGAATTGTAACTGTATTAACCAGGTTACATTGCTTTCACTAGACACGTTGCATGCTGTTTGGACATCAGATGAAGTCAAAGTGCTCCTCACCCGGTGGGCAGAGGACAACATCCAGGAGGAGCTTCGATCATCCCAGAGAAATGAGAGAGTGTTCGCTCAGCTGAGCTCGGAGCTTGCCACTCAAGGTTTCGATAAGACCACCAGCCAATGCAGGTCGAAAATAAGACAGCTGAAACAAAGGTACAAAATGATTAAGGAACTTAAGGGCTCTAAGAAGCAAAAAAACAGATGGTTTGTCATTATGGATAAAGTCCTTGGTCATCGCAAGCCTGAGACTAAACAAGCAGCTGCAGCCATGGATTTAGCCCCTAAATCTCTGCGGAGGTCACAGCTTGGTCACCCTGAAACAGGGCAAGACTCAGGTGAGATGAGCCGTTGTTTTGTACTTTACTGTGGCTTATGACTTAGAGTATGTGGCAGTTAGTTGTCCTGGTGTAACCAAGGGGACTACACGTGGTACAATATGTGATCTGCTTTTTAGTGCATCGGAACCCTGGCAAGAAAAAAATATGTACTAAGTTCCCATAAGGGTAATGGTGATCTTCAAACATTTCAGTACAGCTGGTGCCTTTTGGTAACTATATGTCACAATATACACTCAGTTGCCAGTTTATTAGCTAAACCTAACAAGTCCAATACAACGGTTTGTTCAGTTTCCTTTTTTGTTGTTGTTGTTGATGGGCTGGGCCAAATAACTGAAACATCTCTCTGTAAAATCCAGCACAAACTACAGCTTCCAAAATGATCATCCAACTGAAATCAACACTTCGCTAAAACAATTTCAAGAAAAATAAAACCCTGAACAGAATGGAGGCTTTATTGCAAGACTGTTGTATTGAACTGCATTAGATTCAGCTTGGTGTACCTATTAAATTCGAAACTGGGTGTATAACTGTGTATATTGTGTTTTGCTTTGTAATTTTTAAATTGTATTAAATTCTTTCTTATCCCACTTGCAGGTTGCCACTTGTCCCTCTCATCGTTGTGTCTCCTGGTTCCAACCCTGCGTCTGATGAGTGCCTTTGCTTGGCAAGTGGTCCAGTGCTGTAATGTGTTGCATTATGGAAAGGTGGAGGAGCTGGTGAGGCAGTTGACAGAGCTGGCTCCAGAGCTGCTCACTTCCAGAGACAAGGTGCAGCTGCTGCTCAGGCTAAGGGCAAGGGTAAGAGGCATACTTATTCTGCTCAGGCTAAGGGCAAGGGTAAGAGGCATACTTATTTTCAGCTTCCTGAACGTTTATATATTTTTTATATTTTAAGTATAAGTGGAATTTAAGTTATAACTAGCATGTCTAACATGCATTTTAGTCATATTCAACAAGAGAATAAAAAAGCAATGTTGTCATGTTGTCAAGTCTTATTTATATCATAGCAAAGTCTGATGCCTCCAGAATATGTTAGGGCTGCATGATAAGTCTTTTTGTGAGTGTTTAGATCTCTGTGTGATCTCACTCTCACGTGACAATGATGCTGTCTTGCTTGTGTTAACCGGGAAATGCCTTGCATGAAACCAAGTGCTCCCTCTTCCTCGCTAAGCTGCGTTAACCAATATCAGGAATGCATTATATCAGGTGGTGAGCTGTAGACAAGAAGAGATGACTGATTCAAAAACAAATCCAACACGTATGACATTGTGAAAGCTACTCTGTGCCCTCCTGCAACTATTTTTCAAATATTGCGCTACCTGCCCAGTACACCTAGTGCTGAGTAGCAGTTGAAGCACAAATAAATCATTTTTTCGTTATTGGTTAACGCAGCTTAGAGAGGAAAAGGGAGTGTTTGGTCTGATGCAAAGGATCTCACTGCTAATACAAACATGGCAGAATTATTGTCATGTGAGACTGAGATCACACAGGGATCTAAATTACACTCACAAAATGATTTATCATGCGTCCCTAGAATATGTCACTAAGCACTTATAAATTTGTGTGTTTTCAGCTTGTGTTGGAGTTGTGTCGCAGTGAGAACACAGCCAACTTGCAGAATATCCAGCCCCACCTGAAGGTCATTCAAGACCTCACAATATGCTCCACCTGTAATCAGGAAGTAAGTCTTCAGGTGTGGTTCAGGACTGTGCTGAAAGCTACACAAAAATCATTATTGGTGTTGGTCAAATGTTACTGATCTTGTTAAACTGCTTAAATTGTAGAGTCTTTTCAGAGAGGTTGACATTGAACTGATGTTTTGTTGTTGCACACTGGGACAGCAGAGCATCAGCTTTGTTGTTCCCCCGAAGCAGTTTTCATACATGAACTCTGGACTGTGTCCGCAGAATCAGGCCCAGGCTTTGTCCAGAGTTGCCCTTTCACACATGTAGCACACACCAGGCAGTCCGTGTCAGATGCATTCTCACTTGCTGGAAATACTTAGTTTTATGCCCAGGGGTTTATACTGGATGAAGCGCACAGGAGACGACACTTGATGCGGTCACAGAGCCAGTTTGTAATTTGAACATAAACAGCCAAATCTCTTGCTGTTCCTTACATTCGTATGGCAATTCTGGCACCAGCTCCTGAATCTCCTTGTGTCTCTACTTTGATATTTTCATTGGTGTCTTCATAGTAAATGGCCTTTCATTCTTCACCATTGGATGTTTGTGTTCTTCTTGTTTTGTGCCGGTCACATGATAGAACATCATCGACACTTCCACTAGCTCTGTGTGAAGACTCCAAACTCTATGCAGCTGTTTTCTCACATGGACTCACTTGGTTCTTATGCGGACTTTGTACTAGGGAAATGGCAGAGTATAATCCACCTAAAGCCCAGGTCAAATGACTCAGTCATTTGCGTTCTCACATACAGCTCCCCAGGGTAAAGTCTAGAGAACTTTGGGCTTCCAATGCATGTCTGAAAGAGGCTTTAGAGACAGAAGGTCCAAGGTCAAAGGCAGACTCTTTCAAGTCTAAATTAATCCACATTTTTCTTTTAAACCTCTGCAGAGATCAATCATGAAATCCTCCATGATCCTCTCCCCTGTAACACTCACAACAGGTCCTGTATTGTTTAGTATACTTAATAGTAGCCTACTTTGATGTTTTTCGCGCCTACTTTATTCCCCTAGGATTTGAGTCCAGGCAGATTTCTTCTTGATGCTGAATTGGTATCCTTGCATCTGCTCTTCAGTGAAGACAACACTATCAAGCCATTTTAGAGTTGTACCATTTTCACACATCTGTATTTAATTTCCTGTCTGTTGACTGTTCAAATTCAGGCTTCTTTATGTTTAGTTTAGTTTAGCTACTCTACAACCACTTCATGCTTTCATGTGCCTTTCCTCCCCCTGTTAACTATTACATGAAAGTGCTTTAAAAATATATTACTCAAGTGATAAATTAAATCTCTGTATTTGTATTTATTTATTTTTTTGAGGAAATAATGTGCTGATTTTGATGAAACCTGGAATTAAAAACTGTCCCAGAATCATTCCTTGAAAGCCAATCAACATGTTTATCTTTTGACACTAACTACCAGGAGTTGGAGGAGTTGGAAAATTCAAAGTCAAACTTTGTGGATATTGTCCATACTTTGCTTGAGGACCCAGAGGAGAGAGAGAGGTTTTTCAAGGTCAGACATTCTCAACACAGTTGCCATAATTGAACTAGTATTTGAGTGTAATGTTTCACCATCTCCCCCCCCCCAGGAGGTCTTTCCCCTCCACTATGGCCAACAATATCAAGCCACATTGCACACATTAGTATGGAAATTCATCTCTAGACTGGATACTCTATTGCCCATCCCTGATATTAAACAGGTAAGGTATATTATTAAATACTAAACAGTGCTTTGTTTTAAGTCTTGGTTTTACAGTAAATAAACCTTTGTACAGTAGATCTTGGTCAAAGTAACTAATGCTAAGTAGCAGGATACAAATAGATTATAGTGTTGCCTTTGCTGTAATGATGCTGTTCATTGTTTTTTCATACACTCCAGACTGCAGAGTGGCTCAGCACTGCTCCCATTCTCATGGAGGAATGTGGACAACTAGTTTTGGAACCAGGTCACCTGAAGGCATTAATGCACTTCCATCACCAACATTCAAAAAACACAAATGAATGTAAGCCAACTATCATAGAGTTGAAGAAAAGCAAAAAAAAAAAAAACAAACTCAGTAGCTCTGCACTAGTTGCAGAAAAATGGGCTTAAATTCAGTAGTGATACATGAACAACATGTGATATGTCTGCAACTGAAACAGTGGCAAGCCCTTTAAATCCTGCTGCTGGTTGAGTTGTTCTTTCTATAGCTGTATTTTTTTAGCTGTAGCATGCTATGATAACTGATATGCAGACAGTTTTCTTAATATGGCGTGTTTTCTTTCCCCTCTGAGTATCCAAAAAGGGTCAGAAATACTGTATAAATAATTAAATACTCAAGAATGAAGATATCTTGTGATTATTAAAGGTCAATATTAAATATATATTGTACTGTTATATTATGTTTTTCTTATAGGCTACTCTCGATCTCAGAATATGTTTTTGCCAAGATTGTTTTTTTCGCCTAAAGCCAACTTTAAGCAGCTTGCTTCTGAGCAACAGGAGGAGTCTACAGATGATGAAGAGGGAGGACTGTTTGATAATAGTGAAGATGAAGAGCCAGATGAGGAAGACCAAAGTGAAGATGAACCAACTCTGGAGGACTGTAATAAACAATGTGAAGACCTGAAGTTGGAAGATGAACAAAGTGATGATTTGACAGCTGCAAACTGCTCAAGTATGTCAGCTTTCAATTTTAGCACCTTTAAAGACGATTGCTTCCCCACTGAATTTCAGCATTCATATATCTTTTTTCATGTGTTGAAATATGCTATATTACAAAGACTGATTTCATAGATCGACACTGAAGAGATTAATACTTGATCAACACATTTGCATTCCAGTTATTTATATTGAGATCTTTCATGCGTAACACTTCCCTTAAACCAAATCTCATCTTCTCTTTCAGATTTAAATAATAGTACACATTTAAGACCGCACACGTGTGCTTTGTGCCCCTACTCTGACAGCCTAGTGTCAGGACTTCTGCAGCACATCAGAGATGAGCATCTGGTCTGGGAACCCAGCCATCTTCCCTCTAAAGAGCCTGGGAAAGACGATGACCTTCAATATGGCAACAGTGAAATGTGCACTTCTGACAGAAGGAGCACAGCAAACACTTGCGAGTACTGCGGGAAGGTCTTTAAGTATGTGTCATCATTGAACTGCCACTTAAACACACACACACTGCCATTCCGCTGTGATGCCTGTCCGAAAAAGTATTCCACCAAGGAGGCCCTAGATGTGCACCGTCGGATTCACACAGGTGAGAAGCCATATTTGTGTTCACACTGTGGCCGAGGCTTCAGGTCTCCGTATACGCTTGGATTTCATGTTCGCATCCATACAGGGGACTGCCGCTATAAATGTAACATTTGTGGAAAGACTTCGATCCAACATCTGAACAGACACATGCGGATGCATAGGGGGGAAAAGAACTATTTGTGTACGGAGTGTGGGAAGGCTTTTCTCTCCTCCCAGGAGTTAAGGCTACACATGAGATTTCACACAGGCGAGCGGCCTTACACGTGCCGATACTGTGGGAGGGGTTTCATAGCAAAGTGCCTGTTGACAGTTCATATGCGCCAGCATACAGGAGAGAGCCCTTATAGGTGTTCAATGTGTCCAAAAGCCTTTCACACTTTGAGAGCGCAAAAAAAGCACATGACGATCCACTTGAACAAAAAGTCTTTCCAGTGTTTGAAGTGTGGTAAAATATTCAGGCAACAGGACAATTTTAAAGTGCACGTTCAAACACACAAATGAAAGTTGTAGCTGTTGCTTCAATAGAAGATGTGTACAGTGATTGTGCAGTTTCTCATTTTGGTTTAAACAGCACAACGGTTTGGCTAAGCAGCCTGATACTCAAAATACCATACCATGGTATGTTTTCTTTTTTTCGCTTTGGGGGGTGGATTTATTTTACCAGGTTTTAAGATAACTGTCACAGAGATTTCTGCCTCCATCTAACTAGTGTGGAAGTGAAAGAAGTTTGGTTTATCACGGTCACAGCATCGAAAAGTTAAAATAAAATGTTTAAACAATACGACCACACCATTGAATTAGCCACTCTTTGTAACACTAGCATTTTATTCTGAACTTTCTGCCAAAGAAATAGATCCTGTATCTGTGATTTTGTTTTTTAGGTGAACTGGCCCTTTTATGTAGTGAAATTCTTGGCGCCTAATGTCCTCCATCATTAAATCTTTCTCTGTTTACTGTAACATCCATCTCAGGTTAGTGTATACAAAACTTGTTCCTGTACAATATTTGTAAATGTTTGCTGCATGCAAGTCACTTGACAGTGAAAAGTACATTTACATAAAATATTTTAACTTGGAAAGTTAGTGTGTCATGACTTGTGAAAATTAGATTGTGATTAGTCACAATAAAGGGGCACTTCACTGATTATAAAGTTTATTTTACTCATGAGGAGTACTTTGCAACCTGTGAAGCAGCTTGTATAAAATATTTTGTAGCGCCAAAGGGAGCTTTCTGAAGTTTGAGAAAGTATCTTGAATTGGGCTTGATGCATCAAATATTCAAAGCCTGAGATCAGCACTTGGGATGTGAACATTTGCCAGGCGCTATTGAATTGCATTGTGGGAATTGTAGGGTTCAGTGTTTGGAGTGTTTAAGCCATTTACTGGGAAAAAAAAGTCAGGATGTCTCAGCCTGTACTGCACAGATTTTGACCTTTTATTAATTTTTATTTTATTTTATCTGACTCTTGTGAGGCACCCAAGCTGTAGTGTCTTGCTAAACCACCGGAGAGCCCCTTTAAAGGTTGCTGCTTGTGTCTCCCCACCATACAGTGTCCTGGCATATGTGCAATGCTGTGTCTTACCCTAGGCAAGGCAAGTTTATTTATATACTGTAGCACATTTTCATACACAAAGGCCATTCAGAGTGCTTAACACAGTGCACACAGATGAAACATTAGAATGCAAATTAGATTAAAACATTAAATGCAAATCTTCATTGTCCTGGCATAAAAGAAAATAAGACTACACACAATTAAAGGAATGTGAACATTTAAAAAAAACTTGATCTCAATGATTCCCAAATAAATTAACATATGCACCCAGTTGACCCTCATGATGAAGTCCACCCCCATGCTGCATCAAAGTGTTCATGATAGAGTTTACATGTTTCCTCTTCTTCATTGCTTCATTTGGACAAGTGAGACTGTTCTTTATCTAGTCTCATTTGCCTTCACATCTGTCTGGACTAGTGCCATGTATTTTGCCTGTGTGTGTGTTTTTGCATCAGTTATACTTTTCAGCAGCCTCTTCTCAGACAGCCACACAGCAAGATGATGTGTGATACAAGTAAAATAGTCCCAGTGCTGATGAGCATTATCGCAGTGCAAAAAGAGGACAAGCAGTATGGTGCAGCACCTCAGTAAGGCCCATCTGAGGATCCTCAACCAGAGCTTCAGCAGTACTGCCAACTCAAACCCAGAACAAACCACATAGTGGTTCATCCACTGACATAAGAAGGTGCACGTCACCTGGTCACTCATCACTGATCCAGAACAGGTAAGTAGATGTTGTGGCTTTCTCCCATCAATCCACAAAAGAGGACTGACACCTGGATGTAACAAGGGTTTAAAAGTAACAACACATTTTCAGTTATTTTGTCTGATCTAACATTTCAGTGTTTCTGTCATTTATACTGTGAAATGCAGTTGGTATCAGAACCGGGAGAAATTTACACAGAAGGCTAAAAACCAGTTCAGAATTGCCCCTTAAAGTCTTTTTCAGGCTTATTCTCATCTTTCTGGTGATTTATCAGGGGAATATTTTTGAAATTCAAAGTACTAACATCAGCTTGACTTCCCCCCCAGTTATCCCTGGTTCACAGAGACAGCACTTTGGCCCTCTGGATGGTGTTAAGGCAACAAAATATGATCTTGCTGGCTTGGCTCTGACCGAGGATTGCAGGATATACCACCTTAAAGTGTCTAAGTGAGGAGTGTGCTGCACACTTTTACCCGCACATCCCAAACAGAATAGCAAGGTAAGAATGCAGGCAATCACTCCAAGTGAAACTGAGAATATAAGACCTTCTGTGTGGCATAAGAAATTAGCTACAGTGCATCCAGAAAGTATTCACAGCGCTCAACATTTTGTTATGTTAGTCTTACTCCAAAATGGATAAATTTATTATTGTCCTCAAAATTCTACAAACAATACCCCATAATGACAATGTGAAAAAAGTTTGTTTGAAATCTTTGCAAATTTATTAAAAATAAAAAACGGAAAACAAAATCACATGTACATAAGTATTCACAGCCTTTGCTCAGTACTTTGTTTGAAGCACCTTTAGCACCAATTACAGCCTCGAGTCTTTTTGAGTATGATGCTACAAGCCTGGCACAACTATTTTGGGGTAGTTTCTCCCATCCTTCTTTGCAATAACTCTCAAGCTCCATCAGGTTGGATGGGGAGCATCGCTGCACTGCCATTTTCAGATCTCTCCAGAGATGTTCAATCAAGTTCAAGTCTGGGCCACTCAAGGACATTCGCAGAGTTGTCCCGTAGCCACTCCTTTGTTATCTTGGCTATGTGCATAGGGTCGTTGTTCTGTTGAAAGATAAACCGTCTGAGTACCAGAGCGCTCTGCAAAAGGTTTTCATCAAGGATGTCTCTGTACATTGCTACAGTCATCTTTCCCTCAATCCTGACTAGCCAACCCAGTTTCTGCTGCTGAAAATCACCCCCACAGCACAATGCTGCTGTCACCACGCTTCACTGTAGGGATAATACTGGTCAGGTGGTGAGCGATGCCTGGTTTCCTCCAGACATGAGTTCAGTCTTTTTTTCATCAGACCAGAGAGTTTTGTTTCTCATGGTCTGGTCAGGTGTCTTTTGGCAAACTCCCGGTGGGCTGCCACGTGCCTTTTACTGAGGAGTGGTTTGCGTCTGGCCTCTGTACCATATAGGCCTGGTTGGTGGAGTGCTGCAGAGATGGTTGTTCTTCTGGAAGGTTCTCCTCTCTCCATAGAGAAAAGCTCAAGCTCTTTCAGAGTGACCATCAGGTTCTTGGTCACCTTCCCTGATTAAGGTCCTTTTCCCTCGATCGCTCAGTTTGGCCGGGCGACCCGTTCTAGGAAGAGTACTGGTGGTTCCAAACGTCTTCCATTTACAGATGATGGAAGCCACTCTGCCCTCAATGCTGCAGAAATTTTTCTGTACCCTTCCCCAGATCTGTGCCTTGATGCAATCCTGTCTTGGAGATCTCCAGACAATTCCTTGGACTTCGTGGCTTTATTTGTGCTCTGACATGTACTGTTAACTGTGGGACCTTATACAGACAGGTGTATGGCTTTCCAAATCATGTCCAATCAACTGAACTTCCCACAGGTGGACTTCAATCAAGTTGTAGAAACATCTCAAGGATGATCAGTGGAAACAAGTTGCACCCGAGCTCAATTTTGAGTGTCATGGCAAAGGCTGTGAATACGTACATGTGATTTTTTTTGTCTTTTGATTTTTAAGATTTCAAACAAACTTTTTTCACATTGTCATTATGGGGTATTGTTTGTAGAATTTTGAGGACAATAATGAATTTAATCAATTTTGGTATAAGGCTGTAACATAAAATGTGGAAAAAAGTTAAGCGCTGTGAATACTTTCTGGATGCACTGTACATCACTTAGTTGCCATCAGTCTTACTTCTAAAAGGCAGGTCTTTAAGACACTAATGTATCATTCTGACATAAATCCAGAGATGCCTAGCTATACCAAAATCACCAAACTGTTGTCTTCAGTGTCAGAAATATTGTTCACATCTTAAACGGGCAAAGTTTTCAAACCAGCAAACTGTCAACATTGTCCTCCAGACAACAAAAGATTCAACTTTAACTGTCACTGACCCCAGCCTCTTACAGTGTCATTTTCAGGCTGACACATGAGGCCATCAGCAGAGAATGGCTCACCACCCGTCTGACCCTCCAACCCCTAACAGAGGGAAACCCCCTTCTGGACTGAATCTGTGTTCTGACTCAGAAAGCCAACTGTTGCCAAAGAGCTGAAACACCACCATGACAGACATGACCATAACACCTACATAAATCATAACCACAATGCAGCAGCACAGGGGCACAGTGGTTAGTGCTGTCACCTCATAGCTAGACGTTTCCGGGTCTGAGCCCGGGCCGACCCAGTTCTTCTGTGCGGAGTAAAAAATGGCAAAAATGTAGTTTTTAATGGGTGAATTAAACAACAAAACAATCATTCATGTATGTTTTAGTGTACTCATGGGCTTCTTTGCCACAGACTCGAGGCAGTTTGTTTATAATCACCTCCCACAATGGGAAAATTTCAGTGTGCATGTATCAGCATTACTGATTCATTTGTTCTTGGTTTTTCCAATTAGCTTATTAGTTCTTTTGTGAAAATTTTGGTCCAAATGCACACAATGTTCAGTTTGCAAGTCTATAAAACAGATAAAATAGAATCTTACACTGGAGGAGCAGGTAAGAACTGGTAAATATAATAAATGACTCCAGCAATATGTTAATTATCAAAAACCAGAACAAGGGTGCACTATGCAGCTTTCAGCTTTTTAAGATACTGGGAAGATTGTGCACAGATCTAATCAACTATCTGTTTATATGCATGCAGAAGTGGTGAGGGACTGGACCAGGGTGCTGACAAAGCTGTGATTTGGGGTAAAATGTATTCCACAAAAAACGTCACAATGATCACCCGAAATGAGCTTTCTCCACAGGGTGGCAGATCGCCCCCTTAGAGATAGGGTGAGGTTCCGGGCATGTCCCACCGGGAGGAGGCCCCGGGGAAGACCCAGGACACGCTGGAGGGACTATGTCTCTCGGCTGGCCTGGGAACGCCGCGGCATTCCCCCGGAGGAGCTGGAGGAAGTGTCTGGAGAGAGGGAAGTCTGGGCATCTTTGCTTAGACTGCTGCCCCCGCGACCCGGTCCCGGATAAGCGGAGGAAAATGGATGGATGGATCTCAAACCAAACTCAATCCAGTGAGGCATGAGGAGTGTAGTCGCTTGTACTAGACACTTGTCCGTGCAGATTCTCAGTCATCCAGGTCATAGTAAGGTGAAAAAACGTAGGGAAAAAAAATCAGCTGGACTTGGTTTTAGGTAGAAGATGTTTCATCTATCATCCAAGATGCTGAGGGGTGTTCTGTTTGGACAAAAATAGCTTCCTTGTCTCTTCTCTCAAACCAGCGATGTTCTCTGGAGAGGATGCTCCCTCTACTGCTCATTGTGTCCCCTGTCCATCAAATGCAGCCTTGATCCTTCATTCCAATTGTGTGGCCAGTCTGTGTCAACGCATCATGTGGATGTAAGTGGTTGTAACCCTCCACTTACCAATACTTACCTCGAGATGAAAGTATGTGGTGACCTTTTTGACAAGTCATTCATGAGTTTAGAAGTATCAAACTGATTTTTTCCTCACAGTTTTTAATGTTTGACTAAAGAGGACAGTTCTTTTCACCCCAGACTTTGGTGAAATATCTTTCATGGCACACCACCAGCCTCCCTTCAGAAGATGTTTAAGGGGAAGAAGTTGACTCAGATCAATTTAGAATCAGAATCACTTTTATTGGCCAAGTATGTTTAAACACACAAGGAATTTGTCTCTGTGCGCTTGTAAGTCAATAAGAATGTAGGAAATAGGAAATAAGTCATATGTTTATGACTTAGCTGTTGGTGCCAACAGAGGAACTGTTTGCCAGAGTGACTTGTAGATTCTCTAAAATAAACCAGCAAATGGACATATTTCCCACCTTATTGCAGTCTATTCCAGGCTTCTCCTCTCAAGGAGTTCTTCAGCAGCTCTAGTTCTGTCATTTCCATGATGTCTGGGTCTTCCATTATGCTCTGGTACAACTACAGCTGGTGTGGGCTAACATGGCATCACATGATCACATTCAGAGTATGTGGTTGGCAATGAACACTGCAGTCAGCCCTGCATTTACAGAAGCACCATAAATTCAGGTTTAGGCAGCAATACTTCAGTCAGCCCCACTGCTAACACCTGTATCTCTGCTTCCGCAACTATCACTGTCACCTTATACCAAATGAAAGCATGGCTCTCTATTTCTGCAGATATCATGGATAGTCATGTACCATCACCATTTGTACCGTCACCAGTTCTCTCAGCTCAAGGCAGAGATCTGAGAGCCAAAAGACCAAAATGACTTCTGCTATTCCAACCTGAACTTCACCCAATACCACTGAAACTGCAGGTTAACTGCTCACAAAACGAGCAGAGGCCACTTCCTTTAGACTGCAAAGGAGGAAAACCTGACTAGGTGCTGCAGCCTCGTCCTCCTGAACCTAAAGAAAAATTGCCCTGCATGATTTTTAATCATCACATGCTTAGTGGCAGGTACAGTATATGTTCAGTATTATATAGATAAATTAATATTTATGAAATGAATAATCGCATAAATTCTGGCAAACTATAGTCTCGGCTCAGGCAGGTATGTGATTGGCTCTTCACTCCTCAAGCAACAGCCAGTCTTATAATTAGCCCTGTTTTTCAGTGACAAGATTGGAAAATTAAATGAACTGAAATAGAAACAAACTGCTCAGAAATAAAAAGGATCTGCAACAAGCTCTGAAAATTGGAACTCCAATACTTGACAATTTTGATTTAATATTTTTGTGTGTAATTCAGATGATTATTTGTGATATCCTTATTTCATAATGAAAGTTTTGAGTCCATACAAGTAGACATCTTTCCTCTCAGTCAAAGCTGAAGCAATATTAATTTAAGGTTTTTCTTCTAATTTAAGTGAATAAAAAATCTAAATCACCTTGACATTCAGTATTTGTCAAAAAGCCAACAAAGTTTTCTATTGACTGCGTTTATTTTGTTACACTATGTGAACAGCATATCTACAAAATCATGGGTAAAAAAATGTAAAAAGTCCTCCTCAGAATTCACCATTTCATATCTATGTCCCGAAGATCAAGGTGACATCCAAGTCTGAAAAGCACCGTGGTCCACAATCTCATCCTCCCAGTCCAAGGCTGAAGTGTGATGTATCTGTGGAGTCATCTGGAGGCCTTGCCGTTCTCGTGAACATCCATCCTGTAAACAAGGAAAATGTCAAGTCTGAATAAAAATAATATTCATGATCCTGTTTGAAATGTAAAAACAAAGGCTGATATGTAATTGTTAAAAGACATTGAAGACATTCTTTTACCAACTTCTGTGTATTCAGACTATAACTGTTACATCTATGTAAGAAGTGTCTGTACATGTATAGGGCACAGGAAGCATACAATGACAGGAGGAATGTCAGACCCATAGATAGACCCAAGATGATTATTTCCCCCACCCATTCTCATCCTTCAGGTGCTGGTACAACTCAAACTTGTTGTTGATGGAGCTTGCTCGTCCCACAAACTCTTGGTGCTTCCTGGAATTGGCTGCAGTGATGCGATTGGTCCACATGGTGAGGAGTGAGACAGGACCTGCAGAGACAGGAAGAGAAGCTCTCAGACAAAACATACTCACACACAATGGGGCATCACTGATGTTACCAGGTGACACATTACTTCATATTTACAGAGCCTGGCTTGCTCCATCTAAATAATTACAATATATTACTAGATTTAATCATAATAAATCAATACATTATAAAAGACTATTA